GCCCATCCCTCTTTCCACGAAGTTGTGTTTGATCTCAGTGTTGAAAAAGTTACTGTTGATTTCAGGTTTGCTTTCTTGTTTTGCTTTGATGTATGCGTGTTAATTGCCACATGTTCGAAGTCGGGAATCCCCACCAACATTGCACTCGTACTGGTACTTGGAGGAGGTAGGACAATCAGCTAGACAGGTATATCAGCTAGATACCAGCCAGGTCATCTTTAGCAGGACAATCAGCCTACCTTTAGTATTCTTTAGTATCCTATTAGTCACATAAATAAAGGTTGTGGCCAGGGCCAAAGAAACACTGAAACTGGTCTGACCAAGGCAGTCCCAGGCACCCCTCGTCCGAGTCTGAATCGTCAAACTCACCCTTGACCTTCACATTCTCCTGCGGCATGGGGCTCAAAACAACCCCGTCAGCGACCGCTTCCGACACCGCATGTCACCGCATGTGGCCACAAAAGGTTCATGAATGTTTCTTGGATCCGCAGCTTGCACAGGGGCTAACAAGGGGGCATAGCCTGAGCAGCTCTTCCGCCAACAATCATGCTGTCCTAGTAGCTGTGTTTCTTCGATGTGTTTCGTACGTCCACCATCCACCGACAATTTTTTCTGACTCAAATCAGACCTCACTGACCTCACATATATAATCACAAAGCATGAACCCTGGTCCAACACTCGTACCTCCACTATCCTCCACCATTGGTCCACGGAGAGAATCACCATCCTCAACTCGTCCACAAGGTGAGTGCAACACCGACACAGTTCCCGTCCTCCTCCCAGCCTTCAGCCTCATAGCCGCCCGTGCCGAAGGCACGCTCGGCGTCTTTGATGGCCTTAGGCACGCAAGGCACAGCATAGTAGTGAGAATGCTCCTAGTAGCGATGCCAGGAGCCCCTAGTAGCGTCCTTGCTCCTAGTAGTAAGGCGAGGAGCCCCTAGTAGCTTCTTGCTACGAGTATCTTCTTGTCACTAGTAGCGATGGCCTCCAACCTACTTGCGATGGGCTCCACCTAATAGCGTCCTTGTTACTACAAAGGGTTTGGCTCAACACCGGATCCTTTGAAGCTCAATGGATCCACTCTTAAACACCCCCTCCGTTTCCATCGTCCAAAGCCACCAAACAGTTCGCCGCGCCCCTCCACGAGGTGTATCTCGGTGTGGCAAAAGGAGCCTTCTTTCTGCACAACATTGCACAACCAAATTCACGCTTCGGTGAGATAGAATAGAAGCCAGCAATGCCATTGAAGTGGCACGGGCAACATGAAGCCGTCACGAAACCGTTCCCATTGAACAAACAGGCTTGATGCACATCGTCCTTCGTGGCCTATTCTGGAAACACAATTATAGGAACAATCACTTGAGCCAATTCTGCAAACATGACCCATTCCCAACATCGGCCTGTGCTGTCCATCCGATTCTGGACGTGCAAGCTTCGCTACCAATGTTGCGCTTGCAAGTTGCACTTCGCATGTTCATCAAGAATTCTGTCCAAGGTTTTGCAGCAAATCTAAGAATCAACCAACATTTACCAAGCATGAGAAGCAACATGAGCCAACCATCAGGGGATGAACATGGATGAACCATCTGTCTTCATCCCCATCCATTCGCATCCATTCGCATGTCGACTCGGTCGGATGGGTCTCCAGACTCGGTAGGCCTGGTTCACGAAGGGTGCCTGGAGGCGAGTCGATCGCGGAGCTCCCCAGGGAGTTCTGTCACGGCCGTCCTGAAGAGATCGATGACATGTGAAGGTCAAAGAATGGATAGATCTGAATAAAGGAATTCTCACGAATTCTCCAGGCTAGTTTCGCTCACGATTGCCTGTGTGTGTAAGTATGTACATCTAGGATTTAGATGTTGCAGTGAGTTCGCAGGAACATCTTGGAGTGCGCTTACAGTAGGCCTCTTAATCAGGCCTTGGGCTATCCTAGGCAATTCTTAAACCTAAGCTACCGTCTGAGCAGGGAACCTCAAAAAGACACGCTCAAAAGTGGTACGCATGGAAGAAACCAGGCACCTCCCATCCACCGGGAATGGAGCATATGATTTGTCTCACAATTGGAGGATCAAAGAAGGGTGGAGGTGTAAACTGAACCCAGCCGCACATGGTGTGTTCCATGCCTGGTTGGATTCTAAACAACACGACAATGAACTGCTCTCCTTGAGGCCTGAAGGTGTACAGCGGCTGGACATGTCCCCTGTTGGACCAGTTCGCAAAAAGTTCGTCCGAAAGCCTAAAAAGGAATATGAACCACCAAGCACTGCGGCCCCCAAGAAACTAACACAAACCAAACGAATAATAGTATACTGTATATTTCCTTACTGTATATGTTCTTACATCCTCAATATCCAGGAATCTATGATCCTTGTGTTTGCTTTCTTTCGGGCACTTGGAGAAACCACCCTGAACCTACAGATTCTCTGGCAAAATGAAATTATTGAAATTATATAAAACTATATACCGTTTTCTCATGTTTTCTCCGACTTCCTAAGCTTTGTTAAGATCCTTGCACGAGTGTGGAAGGAGCTCTGATATCGGATCTTACGAGCAGTCCAACTATGAGAGCTGGGTCGATATTTAGTGCCCAACTTCAGGAGCAAGGACGCTACTAGGGGCTCCTGGCATCGCTACTAGGCAAAGAAGCTACTAGGGGCTTCTGGCCTTACTTGGTTCATCTTCGCAAGTGCGTCCCAGTCCCAACGCTTCGATAGGCCTGGTAGCCCCGAAGCGCTTCAGACTTCGACCAATCACCTCCACTCCTGGATATCGAACGAGGTCATCTGGTTCTCAAGCGCTTCATTTTGAAATATTTGAGCTCTCAAGCCGGAATACAAAGTTCAGATTTGCTCGCTCTTGGTGGTAAACCGTTATGATATGTTATGATTATGATGTGAAATTTCCTGAAAACAATCCTGCGCATGGATTGAACATTGTAGTGTTGTAGTGAGTGCGACCTGATTTGGGATCACAGAAGACGAAGCACCCCCTCACGGTCAAATCCAACATCATAGGTTTTGGGGGGTAGTCCAGGCAATTGTTTTCGAGCGCATCACCCACAGAACATATTGCACTTTGAAACTGTGTTTGACAAAAGCTTGGCTCGGCCAGCCCAACCTGCAATGTCCTTTCTGATCATCATAGAAACTGCCCATCTCCATTTCACATTCATGTCATACATACCTTTGAGCAGGTTTTTCTCATATCCTTAGAGGGGTCTTTGTTGATTTCAGGCCTATAGGTTTGCTTTCGTCTGTTTTGCGTGGAAAGGAACCCCTATTTCGCAACATCTACAGTCTTGCGAAGATCCATCAAACCCGGGGTTATATAAATAAATATATATATATATATGGGGATTCTTCGTCTTGTCATGTGAGTACCGGTACACCGGGCCCACAGATTCCCACCGCAGCCGAAGCTGTTCGCTGCCTCCCACCATAGCGATCCAAGACCTGTTCGATGTGCAGCACTTCCACAGGGTACCTGGATCGCAGAAAATCCTGGATCGATGCATCTGCGTGGAGTGGATCGATGCCAACGCTTCTTCAAAAGAATCACCCCGTGAGCCGACACCCTGAGCAAGTCCCTTGGGTTCTCCCAACATCAAAATGACTGAGACGTCTGGCTGGCCATTGTAAGGACAACCTAGCCTGCTGTCCCAGCAAAGGTTCACTAGATTCATTCTGTCCGACATCCTGGCAGTGGAACAGTATTCAGTATTCTTGCCTCTGAGACCAGACCCACTTTGCTGGGACCTCGTTGATAGGTCCTGATGGAGAATGTTTTGGCAAAGGCTCAGGTCCACAAAAGCTCTGTAAGTAAGACTTGCACCAGCTGGCTTCATTCATGTAGCTTTATGCCTTTACATATTCAACAGGGGTCTGAACAATCCACACACTGAAAAACATTGGTCAACGCTGGCCGTTGGGCACCCCCAGTCGGCCGTAGGCACCCCCTCCCTGCTTCGTTTCGCTCGCCGCTCGTTTTTTTGACCAGTTGACTTCGAGACATCGCTGTCTTTACCCTTGCCACAGTACCAGAAACTGCCGGAAATCCCGGAAGAGCGTGACTTCCTCTGCCGATTCGCGTGACTTCGACTGGCAACCTAGCCGCTATGTGACAAGCTGCTTCACTGGCAAACTCCGGGCTTTCTGTTCGGCACATGACAGCAACCACACGACTCCGTGTACAGTTTTGCTATCACTCTGGTACGGTCCAAGTAACAGCGATCATTTGGACTGCAAGTGAACTCCAAATTAAATGATATGTGCAAGGCTCAGTCAGCAAAAACTAGATCATTAGGCCGCAGGCCGAATAAAGGCAATGCACAGCTGATTCGCGTTTGATCATGAGCAGTCCAAATTGAATTCGCACGTTGAGCTGAGCTGATCGCTGAGCGTGGGCGCCTTTGTAAACCGAAAACATGCGCAGGGTCCCTTTGTGAAGCCTTGCCTCCTGACCTTCTATGACCCGCTGGCTTCTGCAAGGTGTGTTTTCAAAACACGAGAAACATGATTGGGGTAGTTATGTCGCATTTGCACGATGGTTAGAGTCACTGATGGGTGCAGCGTTGTGATAAATTGGTTTCAAAACATCCAAAAGTGTCCCGCCAGTCTCCCAACCGTCCCTGCGAGCGGGCCGGGGCCAGGGTCCAAGCAGGATCCCTCCAGTGTGCTCGACCCATAAGTGTTTCTTGCCAGTCAATATCCTTGTAGGTTTTGTCGGGTGCAGTGACTTATTCTGATATGCACCAGGCGCGAGATAGTTTCAGAATAGCTGAAGCGTGTTTCTGACAAAGTGTTCGCAGGTGCTTCATTTGTCTCAACTTCAATCATTCCATAGGTCTGCTGCATGGCTTTCCCCAAGAAAGGATTGAATTGTTCAGAGCAGGGTGTTTGAGTGCAATCGGAAGACCACCTACTTGGACAACACCTTCAAAAATCTTGGTCAAGAGGACTTGTCTTCCAAACCTTTGAAAGCACCCTTGTGACTTTCGTGTTCGTTGCACAAAATCGTGAGGTTTGTTGAGATACAATTTCATCTCCTGTGAAGGTTTCCACACCCCAGCACGCAGCGTTTAAAACGACGCTCTGCAAGATGATAAGAGCTGGCAATACCCGCACCCATGTCTGTCTTGGGCCAAGATCATTGAGTCTTGCGTAAGCAGCTACCACAATTAAATCAATCTCAGAAAAAAAACTGCCCCAGGACTGGAAGTTGTTCGGCCTTGTGAAAGATGCTGATTGAGGCGGAATATTTTTTTGCCAGCCAAAGTAGCATAAAATGGGCTACTCGAAGGAAAATTCACTTGCTATATTGGAGGGGAGATATTGTGTGGTTTGGGAGAGCCTGCGTTTCATCCGCCTTGAAAATGTTTTTGGCGGTGTCTCCCCGCATATCTCTCAAGTCTCATGACGGTCCTGAGGTCTCAAAGCAGGCGCTTGATGGAGGAATATCTGAGTTCTGTAGCAGCCATGCGACAATCCGAACATAATGCAGTATATGGTGGTCGATCAAAAATCCTGCTTGCTGAAAGGCAATTCTTCGAAAAATATCGCGAGTCTTTCGCGAACTCCATGTTTAACTTTCGCGGGGGTTATATCCAAAAAATTTTTTGGCTTTGTGGTTCTACAAAGCAGCCTAACCACTGACATCTGTTTGCTATGTTTGTTTTGGACGAGCACGCTATCAACTGTTGTTGTGCTCATGTCTTGCTAGGGTTTTCTCTGCTTGGCCAGAAAGCAGGCCTTCACATTCGCCTATGCTTTCGCGGAACTTTCGCGAATCTTTCGTCAAAAAATGTCTATCATGGTGGGTTTCTAGGCCCAAGCGAAATAACAAAAGAGTTACTATACAGCCTAGTAGGGATTGTGCATCGCAAGTGTGAGTTATATAATGTGCAATGTAAGGGCTTGTGAGTGTGCCACTGATGACTGACTGTACCTAGGAGCCATGGCCAAGCCGAATCACCAATGTGAGTGAGCTAGAAGAAGCGTAAAGAAAGTCAGGAATCAAGGCTCCTCCTGAGTGAAGGAAGGATGAAGTATCTACAGTTCCAACATCGAGGATGTAGGATCTTTCGCAAATCTTTCACGAATAAATGCGCCTGCGCTGGAAGTGCTGAGGCGTTGTGGAGGCTCGCACAGACCGCAAGAGTGCTGCTGGATTAATCCACTTAATAAGCTTTAGCTTGGGGGGGGGGGGGGCCCTCTCATGTCTCACCAATGGTGTGTTTGTGATGGCTTTTTGAAGCTTTTTGAAGATTGATAATTGTACTTGGTAGCCAACCAAAGTCAAGCAATGCTCAATGCTTTGCTATGCAACCAACGTGTAACAACCAGTGTCTCTTCAACTCAATGCACAACTTCCCCAGCAAATGGGGATCAACACACGCACGCCGACCGAAGGCGCGGGGCTTGTTTCTAAGCGAGCTCGATCCCGCCGCTTCGGTGGAGCTAAGTGCACAACGACTCAAGCACCTGACACATGACGTGAAGAGGTACATGCAAGTCCGATGAGATCATCACCCATCCTCCTGACCTCTTCATCCCATGGCCAGCGCTTCTCTCGCGCCATTCTGGCGACTTCACCTACAAAGAAATCTTGCTGCTCCCGGATCTTCTCGAGCATCTTTCGTTTCTTGAGCTTTCTGCCGCTGACAAACTTCTCGTCATGCACCAGTCGCCATCGGTGGTTGTTCGTGAGCAGCTGGAGCAAAGTCTTGCGGGAACTGCTCTTGGTCAAAGCATCGCCCAGTTGGGCGAGGCCATTCACTCATCGCATCTGGGCGTTGATGCGCAGGGCTTGGCATATACAGCCAAAGCTAACTCGTAGCCGGCCCTTGTTGACCTCAAACCGTGGAGAGCTGACACATTGCGCGTCATCGCGTCGAACACTCCACGTGAATCCATCCTCTTGACCGCCTCATAGATGGAGGAGCGGTCAAAGGAGATCCCATGGATCTCGGTCAGGAACGCCCTGACTCGGAAGGTCATCTTCACCCTCCGTGACTCCGTTGGAGCCCACACACTGCCTCGGTGTGCGGGACCTCACATTCATCTCCTTCTAGGATGGCCCGAGGCGAAGGGCCAGTCACCAAGCGTAGGGTCGACGACTTGTGATGCGGATCTGCTGTGAGGCATCGGCCCATGTTGCGACGCAAAGGTCGTGCCACAAGACATTCCAGCTTGGGAATCGGAGACGCTGCTTGCTGTCTCGTCGAACCTCACGGATGAGCTTGATGGAAATCAGGGTGCTCACCGTGGCATGCGGGAGCTGAGAAAGAAGGAGCCCAACATCTGCAGCGTACTGTGGTCCAGTTTGGCTTGCCTTCCATGACAGTGTGCCTATGGCGCCCACGAAGCTGTGAGGTCTCTTCATTGCTGGGTGGCTCATTCTTCATGGCCATTCTCTCCTTGGAGATGGGGGCTTCTTCCAACCACCGATTGACATAGTAGTCATCTTGGTCGATGGTGATACTGTCTGGATGCTGTTCAATGGCGCATCTGCAAAGGTGAAGCGCTTTGGCCTCTTTGAAAAACACACTTATAGTCTGACAGCATCTGGCGCCATCCATGTGAGCGAAGTGATCCTGCCACACGCATGTTCGTACCATTTGCGGGGTGCGTGAACAAGGCCGTAAAAGGCGTTGCAGATCTTGAGTGGCATGGCCGGACCTGAGGGATCCGCACCATAAGTGTTGCCAGTTCGGCTGGGCTAGCTTGCCGTTGGCGGCAAGCGCAAGCAAAACATTGCGGCTGTGTCGGCTCATCGTCGGTGCCGCTGCTTGGACTTGGCACAAGTTATGTGCCTGGTATCCCAGCACGACCAAGCGTGCCTTTTCACTTCCACTCCCCTTCAGAGTGAGGACCCACCGCATCTGCGTGACCTGATTCTTGCGGTCTAAGTTGAGGTGCTCATCGCGAGTGAGGCTTCTGAGTAGACCAGTGAAGCTCACGGCCCTTAGCTTCCATCTTCTTGGACAGCCAGATTTCTGCCTTTCTTGGGTGGTTTGCCAAAAGCGTGGCATCCTCTTTCTCCAGCGGAATCTTTAAGGGATAGAAGGATTCCTCTTCAGGCGATTCCTTCCTTGGCTTCTTGGATGGCTGTACATCTGGCCGGAGTTCTTCTGAGGATGAACTTGAGCTGCTACTTGATGATTCATCATCGCTGGACTCTGGCAACCAGAGCGTTTGGCCTTCTTGGAGCAGAAGGCGGAGTGGCCCATGCTCCACAACACGGCCTGGCCTGTTCTTCCTGCGGCGTTGTTGAGTTTGCTGAGGCGTTCCTTAGCACTTTCCATCGTGTAGGCCACCTTGGCCTTTTCTTTGAGCTTTAACAGCTCACCGAAGGCCTTCTTGGCGTCAATGCCAGGAAGAAGTTAGAAGTCGAGGTCACCGCCCCGAGTCCATCTGAAGGGTGAGAACCCGCTGCAAGTTGCTGAAGGAGCTATGTCCTGCTGCTCTGTGTGTTCGGAGCATCTGCTGTTTGATGAGCTCCAGTCGTTTGCCAGTTGGTGGTTGTACTGGGAAACGATTGCGGGTGAGAGCAAAGATCTCTGGCTCCTGTTGTCGTAGACACTGAAATGCTGGGTCTGTTGCTTGCGGCTCTGCTGCTGCCGACATGCTTGCTGCTGCTGTGTGTTCATGTTGTTCGAGGAAGTGCTGCTCGACATCCGACATCCCGTGCCATGGATGTTTGCGCTGCTGCTTCTGCTGTTCCATTGTTGCTGTATGGCTTTTGTTGCTGCCCGCACCATGCCTGGTGGGTAATAGGCGGAGGCCTGAGCTGCTGGTCCCCTGCACTCTCCGCGTTCAAGGTGTTCTGGATGGCCGGGGCATCTCTTTTGGAGGCTCATCCAAAGTGCTCTGGAGGTTGTCTTGACTCGCCACCCCTTGCAGACGGGAAGGTTCTTGAACTCCGACCGCTGACTCTGACGCTCCGGTGTCCACAACGACCGGGTAAAGCTTTTGCGTCTTCATTCCAGAGGATGGTGTGGGTGCAATGCGTCTTCATTCCAGAGGATGGTGAGGGTGCAAATATCTGAAAAATTGACTCCCTTCTTTGACTTCCCTTTCCCTTTCCCTTTGAAACCCGAACTACGCTTCCCTTTTCCACCTCGTTGGCCGGGTGAAAGGGCATTGCTGGTAGCCGTGGCCGCGTCGGCCGCAAATAAAACAAGGGCCAAAGCTCTTTCCTTTCCCTTTGGGACCACTGCTGAAACCTTTTCCCGAACCAAATTGGCGGCTCGGTGATGACAAACTCATCCCTTTTCCAGTGTTGGACTCTGCCGAGAAGTATCTGACCTGGCGGACGCGTTTGACTGCGTCCCGAGCCTCCTGGAAGGTTCTATTGGCCTCCGAAGGGTCAGTGGCATTCTCAAGGGGCAACAACTCCTCTTGTTGAGGGTCAGTCCAATCGTCTCGACTGTAACTGTAGCTGTCATCCCAATGTTGCTCATCTTCATCTTGCCACCATTGCCAATAGGCGGACTCATCGTAGGACGTCCAATCGTCCCACTGTGAATCCTCACATTGATCTTCCGGTTCATTGGGCTCATATGCATCATTCCACAAGGCAGATCGGAAACCTTTCCGATGCCCATGCAAACGCTGTGGCTGATGGTCGTCCTCGGCGAACAAGGTTCGAAGGGCTCTCCTAATCGAACTGGAAGTTGCTGGAGTGGTGAGGTCCTTAGAACGTCAAGCAACTTGTCCAACCCACCTGAAAAGTCCTCCGGCTTCAAATGCCGTACCACAGCTTTTGCTGCACCGCTAAGCTTGCTCCAGATCCTAGCCGGTGCCTGACGACGTTCGTTGTCCTTCAGTCCATGCTCGTACCAACGACAGGCAGTCACAAAGAACTCAAACTCACTTGGGTCGCCAGACCAGGACGGAACCGTAAGCTTAACTTAGCGGAGTAGCGGAGCCCCTCCCTGGATCGCCCAGGTCGAGGCTCCGCTACCATGTACTTGGTAGCCAGCCAAAGTGAAGGCTAAATGAAAGGTGTGTGGAGAAAGGGGGTCAGCAAAAATCGCTTATACGAAGTTAGTGCATCAAAAATACCTTCCACGAAGTTCTGCGAAGGTTTCTGGGATTTCGTTGCAGTCAGTTCTCCTACTGGCCCACCATTCCACGAACTGTCCACGAATAGCCTTGGGCTCTACGAATGTCCCGCGCCTTCCGCAGAATAGGTTTTTGCAAAACCCTCTCTGTGCACTACCCTTCCGTTTGCCTCTGACAAAGTCAAGCAATGCTCAATGCTTTGCTATGCAACCAACGTGTAACAACGCACAACTTCTCCAGCAAGTGAGGTAGACGATCGCGATGCCGGATACGCAGCCCGGGGGAGACTGCATTATTGACATCGTGGGTATGTTCGTCCGTGTGTCCTGCCCGACCGCGACAGACAGACAGACAGACAGACAGACAGACAGACAGCCAGCCAGCCAGCCAGCCAGCCAGCAAGCCAGACAGCCAGCCAGCCAGCCAGACAGACAGCCAGCCAGCCAGCCAGCAAGCCAGACAGCCAGCCAGCCAGCCAGACAGACAGACAGACAGACAGACGCGCACACTCCGTGCGGGCGGCTTCGAGCGCGAAGCGCTGTGAATAATCTACTTTCGCTAACTCAAGAAAACACTTTCGCGAACAACTTGAAAAGGCTCTCAGTGACATAGGCCTTGTGTCGACCTTTCGATCGACTACCATATAGAGATTGTCCCATGCAGAATCGGGGAGCGGCGATGATACACATTGCGCTGTTGCTCCTGTGATAGTTATTGTCTTATCCCACTAAGCACACCAAACAGTGGAACCTCAAGAAAGAGAACAGCGATATCAATGCAGGGTCAGTCTGTTGACTTAGTACCTGTTAAGGATCAGCGTCAAACAAAAAATATGTCCAAGAACCAAAGTTCACAGTTTGGAAGGTTGGAAGCTCCATGAATGTTAATGAGCAGCTTCCATCAGCAGCCTGCCCTGAAAATACCGCTGAAAGAAAACATTGGTAAAGGTGGCTTCAGGGATCGCTTACTTTCGGAAACACCAAGCGGTGGGTGAACTACGCCACAGGTGAAGAAAACGCCAAGTGCGTCGAAATACCCTCTCCATCCCAGCCGCCTTCATGGTTTAACAGAAGCGAGGTCCCCTCACCATCCCTCACGAGCCGAACAATTTGTTAGTGCAACGCTTCCACTGCAAGCATACTGCATTATAAGTGGTTTCTCAAACAGTTCAACAGCACCTCCGGCATCCTAGGCTCACGGCGAAAGTGGGCTAGAACCGTCTTGCTCAGTCTAGGCCTCTTGACTTCCCATGAATTCCCAAAACGGATCAGGGAGTTGGGATTCCCCTCAGCTCCAAAACGGATTCCCCCACACTCTTTGATGCATCTCTTTAGCTCCAGAACGCTCCACCCAGTCCCCGACCTTCGAAGCTGATCCGTCCCACAGGCCTCACTCGAAGTCACTACCACTCTCCTCGTTGAGCGGTTGAAAGGATTGGCAACGCTGAGTCTTCGAGAGCACGTGGCCTGCATACATCGCTTGGAACAGAGGTCCGGAGCGATCAACTACGACGACGACTTAAGAGTCTGAGACCAAGATGGTCAATGTGACCTACTATGTAAAATGCACAGTAAACAATAGAATTAGAAGGCTAAAGGCGTAGTCACTGTAGCCGCCTCAGATCGTTTCTGAGCCTCACGTTCAATATTGACTGCAGGTTCAACCATGTCCTGATTTAAAAACCATATACAGTCGTGTGTAATTATATAAAATATATCTATAATCTAGCACACATCAGTCCTCTGTGTTGCATGTCAGCTGGGATCCACTGCAAAGGCAAATGTTCAAAGTTCAATGGATATTCTTGAAATGCTTTGAAGGCATAGGAAGGTTTGAGGAATGAATCCCCTTGGCAAAACTCGTGCTTTATTGTCATCTACTAGGCGGTAAACTGAGCAAACTGCAACCATCGGCTATGCCGCTTCAACATATCCAACCCTCCAATATCATGTCGGCACTCATGTCGGCCAATCGTTTCATTCACTCCAGCTCCATCTCTTTGGTCAACCGACGATCGAAGAGCGCCGATTGAAGCGTCGATTGAGATGCTGGACTGTCCAAGAGTCAGGTCTAGGAGGTTGGGCAAATTGACCACCTCCAAGTTATGATCATATAGCTGGCCAAACGTAAGACTTCGGAGCGCATCTGGCAAATTCACCTGCGCCAAGCTCTGGTTGAAGAACATTCCGAAACTGAGACTTTCCAAACTGTTGGGCAAATTGACCTGGTCCAAGCTCTGATTAAAGTTTTCACCAAAAGTCAGGCTCTGCAAACCGTTGGGCAGCTCTACGCAGTTCAAGCATTTGTTGAACTTTGTACCAAACCTCAGGCTCCGCAGGCTACCTGGAAAGCTGACTTGGTCTAAGCTCTGGTTGAAGTTGTGACCAAACGTCAGGCTTCGCAAGTTTTTGGGCAACTCAATCTGGTCCAAGCTCTTGTTGAAGTTCGTACCAAATCGCAGGTTTTGCAAACCATCCGGCAATGAAACCTGGTCCAAGCTCTGGTCAAAACCACAACCAAACGTGAGGTTTTGCAGGCTCCTTGGCAAGCTGGCGTAGTTCAAGCTCTGATTGAACTTGGAACCGAAGACAAGGCTTTTCAGACCACCTGGTAGCTGAACCCGTTCCAAGCTGCAGTCGAAGTTCATACCAAACGTAAGGCTTTGCAAACTACCCGGCAAGTGGACTCCTTCCAAGCTGGTGTTAAGCTTGTCCCCAAGAGACAGGACCTGAAGGCTGCATGGTAGCTTGACTCGAAACAAACTGCGGTGAAACGTCATGCTTCGAACACTGCTTGGAAACTTCACTCGCAAAAGGCCCTCAAGTGGTTGATTCTCGCCCAGCCTCAAGCTCTGCAAACTATTTGGCCACTTGACTCGTCTCAAGCTCTGGTTATACTCTTCGCCAAAGGTCAAACTCTGGAGGCTGTTCGGCAATGTGACACCTTCCAAGCTCTTGTTAAAGAGAGAGCCGAAAGTCAGGGTCTCGAGACTTTGGGGCAAATTGACCCCTTCCAGACTCTGGTCAAAGCACAGACCAAAGGCAAGGGATTTGAGACTGCTCGGCAAGTGCATGTGCTCGAGGGGCTGATCGAATCGAGCGCCAAAAATCAAGGTGTGTAGAGTGTCTGGCAAAACTACGTGCTGCATTCTCTGGTCAAAAGCCATGCCAAAGGTTATGCTTTGGAGACTGTTTGGCATCTTCACTCTTGCCAAGCTCTGGTTGTATTGATCGCCAAACGTCAGGGTCCGAAGTCTATTTGGCAACCTCACACGCCGCAAGCTCTGGTTGAAGAAATACCCAAAAGTCAGGCTCTGAAGATTGTTTGGCAAACTGACCAGATCCAGGCTCCGATTAAAATCTGCGCTCAAAACCAAGCTCTGGAGATTCTCTGGGAACCCTGTCTGGTCCAAGCTCTTGCTGAACATTTTGCCAAAAGCCAGGTGCTGGAGGTTCTTCGGGAACTTGACATGCTCCAAGCTTTGGTTGAAGCCCTCAGCAAAGGCCAGGCTTTGGAGGGTTCCTGGCAAGTTCGCCAGCATCTGCTGACAACATCCAAGCTTCAAATCTGTGATGCCTTCCAGTACCAGCTCGTCATCTTCGGTTGATTCACCTCTGAGAAAGCGCATGGCCCTTGCAATGTTTGTACGAATGAATGTCTAGGATAATGTGGAATCCTGTCCAAGCCCCTGTTCTCTCAAAGTCCTGCTCATCGCGAGCTTCCTGGCACGTGCGGAAAGAACTTGGACGACGCAGCCACCGCTTTGCAGCGCGGAAGAATGGGCACCAAAGGAAAACCCAGGCACAACATGGCACAACTACCCTCTATTCAATAGAGATGGAGCTTAGGACCTCGGAGATCCAGAGGGTGTCTCCCGTTCGGAACTCTGGAACTGCTACTCAGTCTTTGGGGTGTCCGCCCTCCTTCGGTTAGACTAATCATCACCTCAAGGACTCTGCATAGTTCCGAACACATGGTCCTGGGTCCTGGATCCTTTTTTGCAAGGTCAGTACTGCGTGCTTGCTCGCCCAAGGCACTCTGATCCGTTGTATATTGATACAGCAGCGCCAGATTTGCATGGCAGTCGATCTTTGGCCATCTTCCAAACATCGTACCCACTTTTGGATTCAGGAAGCCTCCTCGGTACTTGGATTCCACAAAGGGAGAGGCGCTTTGCAAACTTAATATATCTGCCATCACCAGCACAGAAAGCGATTGCTTGCTGACTACACCCTTTGAATTACAATGAGCTAAAAATCTTGAGGTGATAGACATCTGCCTGGGGTTGGAGATTCAATCCGGGTGACACATCGATCAAGAACGCATGCGAGAAGAAGTAAACACCTCATGAAAGCATATGAAAGTTCTAAAGTCAGGGCCAGTCTCAAAGTAAATCCTTCACCATCCAAGCCAACCACACGAATCACAACGATGCCGTTTCCAAAGTTGTCTTCTTTCATAACACTTTTTGTGGAGCATGCGGGCGGAAGAGGGCTTGCAGCTGCTAAAGCCAGAACAGCGAGTGGTATGCAAGGGCAACAAATGATACAGTGTTCACGATTGCTTACTTTTTGCTGTTGTGGTTGATTTGCTTTGTTGCCTGGCATTCTTCACCTCTTGACCTCTAGCTTAACATATTAGATCATATTAGTCGTTCTTTAAGCCATCGATTGGATTCTATCATTGCATCGCAATCGAATATCCAAACTTCACTGTGTTCTTGTTCAACCTAACTTTTCAGCAGCACACCATACTTTTGCCCATTGACGGGACAACCAGTTGACTGATGTTCAGTGGTTGCTGTTTGCCCGTGTCGATGCTCGCAAGGTCGAGAGAAATAGCCGCCCACGCTCAAGTTAACCTGTAAGTGACACCTAGGCAGTATTCACCCAGAATCCAAAACATATATAAATGTTTATACAAATCGTATCTTAAATCCCAAGTCGTGATGTTCACCAAATCGCACCAAATCCATGGTTGGGCCGCTGGGTGTGTACCAAACAAGTATACAACGAAATCCACGCCTGTAGCACTGAGGCCCACCTGTGTCGAGCCGTCGGGACACGTCATTACGGAATTTCCTGTCAGCAGATTTTGTAACTAACACATGAGCTCCGTCATATCGCCAACTTTTGATAGTTGGACTTTCAACAAAATCATGCCAAAAAAAACTCTGGTAGGTCTTGGCTCACACAAAAGGACTTATGAGTATATATACTTATGAGGTTGTAAGTTGTGCTCCGGTGATGTGCGGTGCTACATGCAATGCATCAGAAGAGTCTCATGATGAGGAACTCAGTGGTGTGAAGGGCGCGCAGCGATGGGATGCGGTGCAGCAGTGCACCGTGTGAGGCTCCAGAGATCTGACAAAACCCAGTGGTATGTGCCGAGTAAACATCATTAAACATCTAGCGGAACAAATGGTATCACTGGGGAGATGTTGCTGGCCAGTTGCAGAATGTACCAGTGTGCTGGAAAGCACTAAATGACTGTGCATGTCAGAACGATCTGGATAGGAACGAATAAGAGTTGAATACGCTGTCAAAGTTGGGGCCAAATGATCGACATGCAATGTAGTATGTAAATTATCAATCCCACGCTACTAGTAACAGGTGCCTTGCTAGTAGTAACTTAACACGGAGTAACATGGAGTAACCCCCACCGATGCACGCGGCCTCGCGGCCATCTAAGCCTTCCGGACCGGACACCCAGCCGCCTCGCGGAGCTTCTCGCGGGTGAGGCCGAAGCCCTTGGAGCTTGGACAGCAACGGGAGGAGCTGCTCTCCTCCGCCTCACGTCATGGTGCGATCAATCTGAAGTGGAGTCGGTGGATGGCCCTTCAGGCGGCTGAAGGTGAAGGTATTGGGGAGTAGCGTCCATGCTCTTAGTAGTAAGGCCAGGAGCCCCTAGTCGCGTCCTTGCTCCTAGTATACTTAGTATACTATAGATGCCTAGATTATACTGCCAGATACTACCAGTAGATACCTGAAGAACCAAAGGTTGGTGTCAGATCCTGTCAGCCTGTCAGCAACTGTGGGAATACCAATCAATTGAACCTGATTGAGCATGTGTTTTTTCAGCAAGCTGTTTCTCTTAACGCTTGTAGACCCTGTATCTGTATGCTGGTTGGGAACTAGGAGCATGGAAACTGAGTTCTCTCAGTTTATCCATTGTGCAAGAAGGAAGGCTCCCTGCCATGTGTCTCGGCACCCCGCAAATCGATGAGTGAGACTCTCACCTCTTCCCAGAAGATCTGTCGAAGGGACGAAGACCTCGGCGGAGAAAGGTCTGGAGATGTTTGGGAATCAACAAAACCTGAAGTGTCGTGCACCGTGCTTGCCGAGGTATCTTCCAAATTCCAACCAAGACATTAAATGTGGGAGTATAACCTTGTGGGATTGTAACCTGCCGTTGAAGGAGTGTTTGTTTTACCTTTTGGAGTATAGAAACGCTAAACAAATTGAATATACCGCGGGCATCATCAGTGTAGGCATAAATTGAAAAATGGACCTCAGCTTAAGGCTGAGAAGCAGAAACCGCGAGTTTCCGTCTATGTAGATACTTCATGATACTTCGGACTCGGTGGAAACGGATCTCCTGGGTCTTTGGACATGACCGTCCTGCCGCTTCTGGCTACTGACTTGGAGGTACTGTCTAAGCAAAGCAAAGCAAATGAGTTGTTCAAGGCAAAACTTGTTCGTTGGACAAGAACGAAGTCAAACAATACTGGGTAGGTGTGAAGCTTGTCCATTGACTGCCCCGAATCGGGCTAAGCATCCTCCAGCGCCGAAACTGTCGCACGTCCTGAGCTCAAGGCCTTCTCGGAGAGCCGTCAGAATTGTCTTGGTCCGAAGGGGTCTGCACCTCCCCATTCTCAGGATACTCATCAGCATGATCTTGCCTGAGGCGGAGCCCATGACCGCTCAAAAGGTTGAAAGCAAGTCTTGCTTAGATCTCCTAGAAAAGCATAGAAATGCATAGATCTCCTAGATCTTTCAAGGTCCTTCAACATCTTCAACAGTCTTCAACACAACAACATACTAAGACCAAACCTGACTCGTTTTTCATGGCTTGTGGCCGCACGACCCACTGACCGGCTCCCCTTTGGTGAGGACTGATGCTCAGTTGGCCTGGTGACTATGGGCGACTTTGTGCCTTACGGCAGCTAAATGGCTTGTCACTTCAATCAACAAGTTCGCGAATGTGATGCCCCAGCACAGAATCCTAATTCAAATCGAGGATTGCATATGGTTGCGTACAAAAAGAAGCTCAAACTCAAACACCCAAACAAACCCAGACCAGGTTCTTACAGCGCGAACCGTAAGTAGTCACCTCGTGCATCCTTCGCACCACATCACCACGTACAGCACTGACCTGTTGGGAATCCCCAAAAATCTGCCCGCTCGGGATCGACAGAATTCCTCTGATCAACTCTTGAAACAGTCAATCTCAGCGGCTCATAGTACATCTGAGCAAGGAAGTGTGCATATTCTCGATCCTCAGGGAAAGACTGACTGGTCCGTTTATTTCATGTTTTGGATCAGGGAGTGTTCATTGTGTTCATTGTTTTGTGCAGCGAAGTGATTTTGGGGTCCCATTCGCCACACTGATCTGCTTTGTGTGATTCGGCATCATGTTTTCTATGATGGATGAACGAATTCTGACCAGTTCCCACCCAAGATTGCTCCCCCCAATGTCCTTTCTGGAGACTGCCCGCGCCACGGATGCTAGAGCCTCAGGGTCATGTAGGCCCAACTGCTTTTGCCTTCCCTGCTCATTGACGACCGCCGCCAGGTACGCATCTCTGTTTCTGGCACGTTGGTTCCGGCGGCCTAAGCCCAGACCGCGCCGAGACTCATCTTTCAGACCAGGATAAGTCTCAATGGTCGCCTGGTAAGCTGCTTTCGCATAATCACCAACACTGCAAACATTGAACATCTCAACCCCCAGGCTGTGTGCAGCAGCTTTGTAGGCTTCTGCAATATCCAGCCGTGTCCTCAAGAAGTTGACAAAGTCATCGGGTTGCCACCAGAGGTGTTCTCTCTTCTCAGTTGCCAGCTCCGTGCAACAGGGAATCGTCATCACTGCAATCAAGGGATCGAAGCGCACGCTGCCCACGCGGCTGGGACCCGAGGGGCTCGGCGGAGAGCTTCCTACGCGGAGTCCGAGCTCGCTGAGCGCTGTCACACCCGCAGAGTGCGCTGGGGCTGGCAGTGCTCGAACTGGTCGTCCCAAAATGCAGCGATGGTCTCGTTGGAGCCAGGCAGAGGCCCCGAAAACCAAAAGCCCTAGAGCTTCGAAGGCTGAGAAGTAGCTGGACCAAGTACGGGTCACACGGGTCCCACGGGCTTTGTGGGTCAGGCGAGAAAGCAACAGCAGAACAAAGGCCAGTGTGGCAAAACTGCCACAATGCTTTAGAAGCCGATCATGAGTCTTCATCGGAAATCCTGGCCATGGCCTACCGGACATCAAGGAATTTCAATCACTTGGAGAAGAAGTCGGAGGCCTGGTCACTATAGTAATGCTGCTACAGTTGCTTAGACAGAATTTGTTGGCTGATATGGAAAGGGGAAACAATGTGGCATCCTCGATTACAGTCTCAGTAATCCACCTAAGCTTGTCCTCGAAAGTAGCAAAAGCTTCTAGGAGTTCGCTTATGGAGCAGGCTTGCTTGAAATGTTCATATGATATGCTCCCCGTTGCACTGCCACGGTCGAGACCTGCGTCGAGCCCAAGCCACAAATGGGAGCGACAGCGAACGAGGCGCAGCGGGGCTCTGCGAGGCTCTGCGAGGCTCTGCGAGGTGTGGAAGATCAAGCGCAGCATCAAAACAACGCCAGGCAGCTTGGGAACCCAAAGCATCCGTCATCTTCTTTTTAGACAAGCCAGGTGCACTCGCTTAAGGGGCCAGTGTATCAGTTTTCCTGTCTGTTAAATCCCATGCAGAATCGGAGGTCGAACAGAGTGTCGAACAGGGGTCTCCACTTGGGATTGATAAGGTAACCTATGACCTGTTGCCATCTGCTGCCTTAAGACCTCGATGGCGAGATCCTGCACCCCTGGCGAAGATATCAGGTCAAAACATGTTTTGAAACCATCACAAGTCGCATGTTTTGACATGTTCCAAGTTTGTGGGCCAAGTACCATTCTCAGCGCTGCAACTCCATTCCCGAGCCCCACGCACACACTCATGCACACACTGCACAAGAAGGCCTCTCACAGACGCCAACAGGTCACCTCTTGACGCCAACAAAGATTGTCTTGATCTTCTTATCGGAGAAGTACCGCGTGAAGAGATCCCCCTGAACGACAAGAAGCCAGCATGAGCTAGCTCAGTGAGACAGAAGAAGCACTGGCTGAACAACTACTGTAGAGGTCTTCTTTTAAAGGACCTGATTTGCTCATATACAGTGTCCCAAACATGCTAGGAGTGTCTGCGGGTGTCGATCTTAAGCAGCTTCATGTTCAAGAGTCAGTCCGTGAACCATCCTCTTTTCCTTTGCACCCCACCCACGACCAGCGGGTGGATAAGGCTTGGCTTTCTTCCGTTTTCAGTTACCTGCGGTCGCCTGAAGTGTTGCTGACATGATCACCAGCTTGAAGTCATAACCAGCCATCTGCAGCTTCACCTCGAGTCGGACCCCTGGGATTCCACTCCAAGTCCGGCCGGCCGAGCAGGGCGAAGTGAACACTCGGTGTTCACTGTGAGAGAAGTCATATGGGTCGGCTGTCCTGAATCATCCGACACAAATCACCAGGACCAAAGTCCTAAAGTCCTTTGTGAACAAAACAAATGGCTGGTCAGGAGTCCACCGACTTAGTCGACTTTTCAAGTAGAATTCATGAACTTAGGTGCTTCTGATACTTTCTACTGTCCCTGCGTTGGCAGATTCAATGTGCAACCAACACAATGCAATACAATTCCAAAACAGTTCCTTTGATAAGTAATCGCTATTAGGTTGGAGGCCATCGCTAGTAGGTTGGAGGCCATTGCTCTTAGGTTGGAGGCCATCGCTCTTGCCGAGTGTCCAAGGCATTCAACAAAGCAATGGTATCACTGCACATCCAGCTAGAAAGCTTGAAGCTGATCCGACCCGCCACGTTTCTCAACTAATTAAGATTGATCAAGAGCCTTTCGATGAAGGAACCGCCTAAACCTCCAGCATCTCAAATATTTATATAGATATTTGATTTTCAGCGTCTTTTAAAAATTTGGTTTCAATCCTGGAGAGGTCCAACAATGCACCGGGCCCGCACCTCGCACCCAGGGGCCACGGGAGTGCATCTCAACTGAGCCCTCGCACCACCAGAGACAAGAGATCGGAATCCACGTCGCGTTCGTGGACCTCCAAGCGATGCGGAAGCCGCCCCAAACAGCGCACGGGAGAAACGAAGAGGACTCGCTATAGGCTGCTTATCACACAAACAAACGACTTGGACGCAACTATTTGCTTAGCCCGGCCCCAAGGATCTCTAATGCTTGGACAAGTTTGAATGTTTATGTACCACTTATGTTGTTTGACGGCAGGGTATCAGCAGCAGGGTTGGCCCTCTTCTGCTCTAGGGCAACAACCCTTCTTCCGTAATAAGTCTCACGATAATTTGTCCCTTGCTCAAAGGTCTGCAATTTATATATTGAGAAATGATTGGAACTGGAGGATTGCATTGCTCTCTAGGGAACATTCCAAGTGGCTGGTTCACAACACCCATCGCACATTGCCCGGAGGTTCTTCATGGAACCTGTTATTGAAGCTCTGGATAGCTCTGGTCATGGTCAAGCCGCTGGCTCAAAAGGGCTGTTCACCCTGGCGATTCGGTTAACCGACACCTTGACAGTTTGCCCTCTTGATGTCTATATTGGCTTCAAACCAGTGGGAATCAGAGGTACGCCGAGCATTGAATCTTCTTAAGATAACTCTATCAAGACCCTACCCCTGAGAATCATTGCATCTACTATTCTACTGTGAGGTCGCTGCCAACATCATTTGATCACTTGGCCCCAGCTACATGGCATCTACCTACCTTCAAGACATATGGTCCATGTGTTGCCTTATGGTATAGTACGGTGATCATCTATTTGCGATTCAGTCATGGCCACCTTGTTGTAATGTATGCGCAATGTCATTTTGCGTGGTGTGCTTGAGTTTGCACAAACTCTAGAGAGTGTGAGACAAACGCTTAGTGTAAGAATACCAGTATATAACCAATTGCAAAAGCCAAACTGGCAGCAGAAGAAGGTGCAAAACCAGGCCTCATCAAGGATGAGATGGCTGTAGGCGCTGATCTGTTCAGGATTGTTCACCAAGACCTGCCAGATTGCAGCCGACCATGTGAGACGGGTGCCCAGGACCCAAGCTCTGCGCCTCCTGGTACTAGTACTTGTCGTCTTGCGTGAGTTTTTGCTACAAGCAATCTCACGAGTGTCTTGAAAGTAAGGTGTCCGGTATCCATCACTTCTAGAGAAGTGCTGCCACACTGAGTGTTCTTCAAACAAAAGCATTGAAGTTAGTACCTTTCACTCGTGTGATGATAGCAACTTACTAAAATTCCGCAGGTTCCTGCAGGACATAGGTATTACCAATAGTTCTAATAGCCATAGCTCAAATGAAGCTTGTCACAACTTCTTGAGAGGTTGTGAGCACTTCTAGAAAGGCTCTGCGTGCTGCGTGTCCATGTTTCCTCAAATCTAGAAAAAATGGTTGCATGCTCTGAGACTCCAATCATTGAAATCACCTGGCACAGAAAAAATAACATTGTCAGCAGCTTCGGGTAGTTTGCTCTGGTTGACATGCCAAAACATCCTCAAAGCATGCAAGTTACATGGAATTTGATTATGCCGGGAAGGCCATCAATCACGCATTAACTTGTCCGTGTCTATCCTTTTTCTGTCATAAACTGTTGGCATACCCACCTCCAGTCTCCTGCTGGAGAACCAATTTCCTGATAAACAAAAGATTCAAAAGTAAAGAAATCAAGATAAATTAAGTACATGAATACCCTTATGAATACCCTGGACTGGATCAGCTTCAGGTTCGTGCCTCCCAATCCCCTTCACAGGACCCCTCCTGAAGGAGATAGCCCGTGGTCACGTAGACCAGCTTGGTTCGGCCAGGACCTTAGCTCAGCCCTGCAGCGGTTTCCGGGTCAGTAGGGCTCCACCCTCCGCCCAACTGGTTTGTCCAAACTTGCAAGCAAATGAGCGAACTTGCCTTAGCACCATGACTCTGCTTTTGGATGCCCCATCTTTTGACGCACTTCAAGACGCAGCCCTCACTGGGAAAGCACGAAGACGACTGAGCCTCCAGGCGGACCTTGCTATCTCCACTGATCTTGTAGCCAATGGACTCACCAACTGTCTCCTGGCACCATCTTCCGACGGATGTGCCACGAAGAATCGCGACAATTGGAAATGCATGAAATGAAATGCAGCGAATGTCGTGAGTCCACGATGCCATAGACTCACAGGTCCGACAACCGATGTTCTTTTGCAGGATATGCACACCAACCTCTCTCTTTTCAGCTTCGCACATGGTATAGAGGTAACAGCCGCACGCAGCAGCAACCAGGCAAAATTGCCTATACAGAAAAATAGATAAATCATCATAAAACTATGGCCATTCCAGCTATCAATGGGACTCGAATTGTCCTCTTGGTCAAACAGCAAAGGGGAATTGACTTGACTGTCTTTGAATCTTCCATCTATCTCCAACTCAAATGCCTCGTCAACAGTCTCCACCGGCTCACGGCCAACGGCTCTAGCGAAATGGCCATGGAAGGCTGTCGCCGTCAGGCTGCGTGGTGTTCCTCTTTGGAAGAATGAGCGTCCCCGGGCGGAACGTATCCCGAATCTTTGGCCACAAGTCACTGTAGTTGCCCAGCCTCGTCTTGCGCGTATGGTGACGTGAAAATCCCGTGAATCAAACCTGTATTGGCAAATACAAAGGATATACAAAGGATGTAAACTTCGTGCTTGTTCAATAATGTTGGATATTGTATATAGGACCTTATGACCTCTTACGACGTCTTACGACCAGTACAACAACTTCTCATCGCTTCGACCGACTTCGACCGACCCCAAAACCTCTCCCTGAGCTTCAGACTGAGGCTCTTGAATCCGAAAGAAGACCACAAGGTCCTTCGGCGATGAAGTTCGGTCAAGGGCTAGCTTGGTGGGAAGGTTGATCAATTCAATTTGGTGCATCTTCCAGGCTTGACCCAATAAGCTGACTGACCATGAAGGAGGATACAGAAATTGCAATGAACTTCAGCCAATGCTCACGCATGTCTTTCGTCTCAACTTTTGTCTCTTTCCCTCATAAAGCACACCGACACAAAAACAATCAAACAGGCGAAAAGAGGCAAGAACTAGATGGGGGTGGCAGAATGGCTGTCGAGGTACTCAACTGCTGCAAGTACTCCAGGATGGGTACGAGGCTGCAGATTGCTGCGTTGACAGCAAGGCTCTTGGAAATACTGTAGATGTTCGTCCGATCTAAATTATA